TCTCCTTGCTCCGTTTCCCAGTCCCCCAGCCTGGGCCCCAAACCCCCTCCTGTCCGCCTGCCGCCTGGCCTCACCAGGCTGGGCACAGCCTGAGCACACGCAAGTGACCAAGGAGGGCTTTTGGGGGTCTTCTGGATGAGTCAGACCGTGACCCTGAGCAGCAGCTCCTCCCAGGACTCCAGGGCCTACCGGCCTCGGGATGGTCAGCGCCTGAAACAGTGCCCCTGGCACCGGGCACCTGAATCCCCATCAGACCCTGAGCTAACCCTGATTAGGCCAGAAACTCCCACCCGACCAGGCCCGGAACTGCCCAGAAATCTCACCTCTCCAAAACACAAAAGTCTTTTCTCTCCCCCCAGGGTGTGGGTTGGCAGCTGCCCAGGACATCAAGAGTCTCCTGGGGCACCCAGGGAGCCCCGGCCCCCCCGCCCGGAAGCCGTACCTCTCCAGTGTTGCAGCCCAGCTCTGCGTCCACAGCCCACGGCCCATCGTCCTCCCGTGCAGGGCCCGGCTCTTCCTGCACTGCCGCCCTGGCCCACGGCGTCCCTCTGGACAAGGCCAGGGCCTCCTGCTCAGATCCACCGAGTCCCTGACTCCCCCCACCCAGCTTTTATGGTCTGGAGAACGCCAGAGCATCAATTCCCCCCCCCCCACCATGTGCTTGGGGGACCTGTGGTTTGTGGGAGACGCACGGCCAGGCCCACTGGGAGGGAAAGAGCTGGTCCCGCAGTGTCCCGCGTCCCCTCACATCAAGTGTCACTTAACTGAGCCATAAAGCGAATCTCCCGACAGCCTGTCTGATGGGAGTGGGGAGTTAGCATCACAGGGGCGGCCGGGCCGCGCGCCCGGCTCCCTTCCGGCTGGCTGCAGCCTGTCTGGCTGCAGCCCGTGGGCCCAGGCTGTCATTAGCGGTGTTTTACACCACGGCTTTTACTTTCAAGCTGCTCTGAGATCGGGGATGAAAGAAGCCACAGAGTCCTTCTGCCTCTCCATAAAAATGGGTCCAAAGCGCAAACACCAGCCACAAACACCCACCCCCAGCAGGTGCCTGCCAGCCTCAGCGCCCCCACTCTGCGGGGGGATGGAGAGGGTGGAGCGTGCCCAGCCCCTCCAAGGGAGGAAGCCCACACAGTGTGCTCCCCTCCAGCCTCCAGCAGCCCAAGGAGCATGGCCCACAAGGGCGCACGTCCCCAGGCAGCCCCTGAGCCCCGGGCTGATGTGGACAAAGTGGGGGCAGGACAGATCCCCGGCCCCAGTCCTGCTGTGACAATGCTCCCTGATCTGCCCAGGATTCCTCGGGTGGGACAGAGACATCCCCCTTGACAGGAAGACACAGGCACCCTTATCTCATACTCCAGGTCTCCCACGGGTCTCCAGCGTCGTCATGCAAAACAGAGGGGCCACAGGCAGCCACAAGGCCCCAGGCCCGGAGTTCTGCTCTCAGCCATGCCCCGATCCCCAAGCACCCAGCTGCCTGACACAGTGCTGGGGACGGCACAGAGCCTCATGCTGGAGCCTGGCCTCTGTGGGACCAGGTCTAAGGTCCAGCCGCTCCCCCCTGGGTCCTAGCAGGTGGCCAGAGGCACTGACCTGCTTTCTGGAGTGAGACTGCCCCCTGCAGGGCCCGAGCAGGACAGACAACCCCTTGGGAGAGATCATTCACAGGGGCGGAGCCTTGCAGAGAGCGAGGAGCCAGGAGTCACACACTCTCCCCTGGGGTGTTTAGCACCTGGGATCCTGACCTGGCGCTGAGGCTGTGTTCTGTGCCCTGGCATCAGGGTCTGGGAGAGAGAGCCTGGTTACTCACCTTGACAAAGGACCAGTCCTGGAAAACCTGTTGAAACTGGGGATCCAGCTCTCGGGCTTGGTGAGTCCAGACCTCAGTCTTTCTGAGTGTGAAATGGGCACAGCAGCGCCCTCTCATGGTAAATGAAGGGTGAGGAGGGGCTCTGGAGAGCACCACGGGCGCGGTGCATGGCCACCTCTGCCTGACTCCACCCCTTCACTCAGGTGCCTCCTGTGTTACCATGCATTCATTCACCAGCCACCACAGACAGACGCAGAGCCAGGGAGCAGCCAGGTGGGCTGGGGTGGGCGTGGCTACCCGGTTCGGGCTCCAGAACCAGGCAGTATTGACCGGGCAGCCCCAATCAATGTCCACTCCCATGTGTGGCCACCCATGCAGATGACAAAGGGGCTAAACCAGAGTCCTGGATGGGAAGGGAGGACTCCCTACTCCTTGCCTCTCCCGCCGCCCAGACCAGACAGGGGAACGGCCACTCCCCAGCTCAGGGAGCTCCTGGGTTGCCTTTGGCAGAAATACCTGCCCTTGTCTCCCCATCCCCTCCTCCCCCAGTATTCCTGAAGGAGCCGCACAGGGCCTGAGACATGGCCCAGCTTTGCCCCTGTCCTCCCTGGAGTCTAGACCTGCCGGGCAAGGCTCCAGCTCCACATGGACGACCACCCCCAGCCCCCATCGAGCTCCCAAGGCCAGCTCAAGGAAAGAGGAGGCTACCCCGAAATAGCCCTGGCCTGGGTCCTTGGGGAGAGGCCTGTGCCCTGGACCCCACGGCGGTGCCTCAGGACCGGCCAGGGCAGCTCGGCTCGGACAACCCAGGCCCTTGTCTCAGGCTGGGGCGGTGCCTCCATGCTGACGGGCCTCTTTCATTTCCCGTAGCCATGTGCACTCACCCTACCCCCCGCCCCGGTCCTCTGAGCTGGACACTTAGGGAGCTCCTGTAAGAGTCTAGGTATGAGGATGGAGATGACTGCAAAGCAGACGCCCGCCCTGGCTGACCTCGTGGCCAAGCAAAGACTTAGAAAGGTCATGACCAGAGGTGTGGTTCATTGAGCACTTGCTAGGTGCCAGGGATGGTTCTAAACACTTGACTTTAACGACCTTCCAGGGTGGCAGCACGTGGCAGACCCGGCAGTGCGGCCCTGGGTCACAGAGAGGGTAACGGCACAGCCGGGGTGCGCACCAGGTCCCTGCGGCTGCACAGCCCATGAGCTTTCCAGCCTGCGCTGGCCGTCAGCACCGGGCACCCTGGGGGAGCAGCAGAGAAAACCCGCAGCAAATGGCAATGGCTGAGCTGAGCTGTGATGATCACAGGGATTTGTTGCGTGGTCGTCTCCCCCAGCACCCTGGGAGAAGCCCCTGAATTCCGTGAAGACAGACAGAGGCTGCCTTTAAGTCGGTCCCTTTCCCTCCAGGTCCCCAGGGGACACTGGGCAAAGAAGCCGCTGGCTGCGCAGGGTCACCCAAAAGGTCAAAAGGTTTGGGAATGGGTCAGGGACAAGTCCTGCTTGTCTCTAATGTTGCAGCTCCTAGCTCAGCTCCCGGCTCCTAAACTTAGACCAGGCCCCACCTCTGGCTACAGTGAGGGGAGGGGCTACTAGGGTGGGCGGGGCCTAGAGTGGGCTGTGTTTGAAGTGCCTGCAGACTCCTCTCTTCTGGCGTGGCGAGCTGGGCCAGGCGTGTCTGAGCCACCTCTGTGGGAATAAGCCCACAGGGGAGACAGAGAAGCCGCTGTGGGGGTGGGGCCAGGGGCCAGGGGAAGATGGCACACCATCTCGTCCTTCTCTGAGCCCCAGTGAGCCCCCTGTCAAGAGCAGAACACTTGACCCAAGAAGAGGAGGGTGCAGCCCCATACCGGGGCAGGTGGGCACACCCCAGCGCACCCCACACCAGCTGAGTGCCACGAACAGAGCAGTGTTTGTCTCAGCCCGGATTTTGAATAAAAACCTGGGAGGCTCCAGTAAGACGAAGATGGGGATGCGGAGAGAAGGTGGGGGTGGGGGAGGTCGGGTCCAACTGAGTCTCTCTCTGGACGGCAGCTCCAGCACCCGGTCCCACGGCAGCCTGGGGTGGCAGGAACTCGGGGTGTGCTTGGGAGGACTGGGGGTGGCAGGGAGGAGTCTGCACTTTCATCAGTGGCCAGTGGGGCACAGACGGGACATCTCCAAGCTGGGAGGAAGACATTTCTGGCACGCACAGGGCTGGGCTGTGTGGTGTGGATGACAGGGAGGTCACACTGGAGACAGAAGCCAGCAAAGTGTGAGCGGGGACAAGGCGGGACATGATGGCTGAAGCAACACCTGCTGGAGAAACCTGAAAAGGGGGTGAGGGGTGGAGAGCGGAGGCCAAGATGACTCCTGGGCTCTGGCCTGGGTTTCCAGGTGCTCTGGGCTGGGGACAGGAAGGCGTGGAGATGCGGACATGTGCAGTTGAGGCAGTCACCACACACGGTGAGAGAGGCCTCGCTGGAGCCCCGGGCTCAGGGGTCGTCGGAACGTGTGGGCAACCGGAGCCATGGGCGTGCCCGGATGGCCCAAGGGGAGGGCAAAGAGGAAAGAGGCCAAGTCCGCGTGCAAGCAGAGAGCAGAGCAAGAGGAGGCCGCAAGGCTGAGAGGGGCGCTCCGGGGGGAGCAGCGAGCAGGGGCGCAGAGAGAACGGGGGAGGGGTCAGTGCAGGACGGAGTCCTCTGGGGTTATGAGCCAGTTGCCTGCGTGTTTGGGAGCAGGTCCCCGTGGTGGGCTGGGGAGGACAGCTGGCCTAGACACCTCAGGCCAAAATGAAGTCATCAAGCCTGGGAGAAGGCACCTCCTATAGGAGGTGGGCCTGGGGTGCCCTCCCAGGGCCTCCTTCTCCCCAGAACCCCCCTCAGGCGGCCCCCTGCAGCCTCCCAGAGCCCTCCTTGCCTTTCGCCCAACCCCACATCACCCACTCGTACCCTACCCCGTTGCCGTCTCTGTTACTGCACACCCCTCAGGGCCGTTGATCTGGCTCACTTGCCCCTGCACTGTCTAGAATGTTCCGCATGTCCATGTTTGCCAAGGGCTTCATGTGTGTTCTGTGTGCTGGGTTGGGCCATGTGCCTTGTGTCCTTGGATGAGGAGCCCCCTGGGCCTCTCCTGGTCTGGGCCGACCTCAGCCTAGCTGCACCCACCTTACCCCCAGCCCCAAAGCAGGACCTCAGAAACCAGGCCGGCAACCAAAATACATTTGCCAACAAGCAGGAAACTTTATTGAATTATCTTTTTAGCGGAGAGGTCGAGAAATCAAAGAGTGGCCGGGTCACGGGGAGAGGAATCCAGTGGGGAGAGACGCACAGGAGGCCCGGCCTGGGGGGGGTGGGGCAGGGGCAGGAGCAGGTTCCGGGGGCGGGCAGGAGTGGGTCTCCCACCCTTCAGGCCCCGGCTGTCCCGCAGGCAGCCGCCGGCTCACTCCTCCTCCAGCTGCTGAAGATGGGGTGGGGATGCCAGGCGGCCTGAAGGCCTAGGGGCGGCGGGTGGTGTCTGAAATGCGGCGACCGGAGCCGGAGGTGGCGCCGCTTCCTGAGAAGCAGAAAGGACCAGGGGTGCTGAGGCTGCAGGAGACCCTCCGCGGTCCCCGGGGGCCCACAAGCTCCTCCTCAGTGTTGATGGGATGCTGTTTCATCGTCTCCAGAGGTGGCTCACTCCAGGACGGTCCAAGGCTCCAAGGGCAGAGCCGTCCAAATTTCGAAAGGAAAGCAAACGAGCAACTCCTCCCCCCCACCCCACCTCCGCCCTTCGCCTCCCTCCACGCACCTTACACGGGGAGCCTCCCACCCAGCCCCACCCCTCTGGGAGCTGTTTCCTTACCTCCTGTGGAGGTGAAGCCAGTCATCCTGGGAGAGAGGAGAGAGGTGACCGTGAGCAGAGGGTAACCAAGGTCAAGTGCTTTCCTGTCCTGATGGAGCCACTCGGAGCCACACGGGAAGCCCTGAGCGGGACTCCAACCTCGCTGTGCCCAGCTCTGGGGGCAGCAGCAGCAGGTGCCCACCGCTCTGTCAGTCAGTCTATCTGCCTGTGAGGCCTCGGGGAGGGACACTATCGGCCCCAAGATTCAGGGCATTTGCCAGAGGCTCTGTCCCCTCTCCAGCTGGCTCAGCCCTTGACCGCCCAGCTGCCCCTGAGTCCATAAGGAAGGTGAGGTCTCTGCAGACCAGGTGAGAGCATTACGCCACCCTACTCCGAGCCATGCACGGCCGAGCTGAACCCTGGGCCATCTTTTCTCCTGTATCAGATGTCCTCTCCACGGGCCCTGTCCCTGCCAGCCCCACTCAGAGACCTGGGTCCAGACAGCAAGCGAGCTCTGGCCCTGGCTCTTCTTCCGAGCTAGGTAAGCTCCGGCAGGGGAGGGGCCCTGTCCGACACCCCCAGGCCGTGCAGGGAGACCGGCGGCGAGGACCTACTTGGCGTCCTGGCCCTCGAGCAGGCTGCGGTAGGTGGCGATCTCCTGCTCCAGCCGCGTCTTGATGTCCAGCAGCATCTTGTACTCCTGGTTCTGGCACTCCATCTCACTGCGCAGCTCGCTCAGCTGGGCCTCGATGCTGCTGATGACCCCCTGGATCTGCTGCAGCTGCAGGGCGTAGCGGCACTCCGTCTCCGCCACCGTGCTCTCCAACCCGGCTTTCTGCAGGGGGGCAACGGGGAAGAAGTGAGATGGGGGTGGCCGAGCCCGAGGCAGCGCTGGAGGTGGCGGCTGTGGGCGGGGGGCAGCGGCTGGGTACCATGCTCAGCTGAGACTGCAGCTCGATCTCCAGGCCTTGGAGCGTGCGCCTGAGCTCCGTGATTTCTGTCTTGCTGGTCTGGATCATGGCGGTGCTGGAAGACACTTCCTTGTTCAGCTCGGCACTCTGAAATGCAGGCAGGAAGATGGTGATGGAGGAGCCCACCTAGAAGCCCCCCGAGCTGGGGAGGCCGCGCCCTGCCTGCACCACCAGCTGCTACCTTGCTGTTGAACCATTCCTCGGCGTCCCGCCGGTTCTTCTCTGCCAAGGCCTCGTACTGCGCCCTCATCTCTGCCAGCACGCGGGTCAGGTCGATGCCCGGGGTGGCGTCCATCTCCACGTTGACCTGGCCCACCACCTGGTTGCTGAACTCCTTCATCTCCTGTGGGGGTGGGAAAGGAAGCTGCATGAAGCTCCTCCCTCTCCTTGGCTCTCAAGGCCGGCAGAATGTTCTGGAAAGTGCTCCCAGGTCCCCCAGTGGGCAGCCGCGTGCAGCTGCAGCAGAGGGCTCGCCTTTCTCCCAGAAGCCCTTGAGCCACAACGGGCCGGCCACCCCCTCGCACCTCCTCGTGGTTCTTCTTCAGGTAGGCCAGTTCTTCAGTCAGGCTCTCGATCTGCATCTCCAGGTCGGCCTTGGTCAGGGTCAGCTCGTCCAGCACCCTGCGCAGCCCGTTGATGTCGGCCTCCACACTCTGGCGCAGGGCCAGCTCGTTCTCATACCTGCAATATTTTAAAAAAACTTTTTAAAAAAAATGATGAGTGACTCCGCCATCCCTGCAGGAGGCTCGGCGGCTCTGCCACAGCTTTCACCCCAGGCTTGCTCCAATGCTGGGAAGCCGACGTTCGCGACGTGAACTCACTTGAGCCTGAAGTCGTCGGCAGCCAGCCTGGCGTTGTCAATCTCCAGGATGACCCGGTTGTTGTCGATGGTGGCGGCCAGGATCTGCGGGAGAGGGGAGCAGGTGACCTCCACGGGGGCAGGGGCCTGGGAGCAGCCTGCTGGGCTGCTGTGCCTGGGGCCCTGCCTCCTCAGCCCCCCTTCTCTGATACACCCTGCATCTGGTCAGGACCGGGAAGCCCCAGCCTAAGCATTTCGCAGGAATGAGCCCCCCGGGACTTTCTCAACAGCCTCAGCCCAGCAACCTCACCGTCAGCCCCTGTCTGTCTCGAGAACCTTCTCTGGTAAAAAGGGGCCTCGCAGGACTCCTGTTTTCCCTGCTGACTCCACTGAGCCTGGCCTCCCAGCTGAGCGTAGGGGATCTCCGACATCAATCCCACCCGTCAGAATTTCTCGTCCGAACATGTGTGTTCCAAGCATTGGAAACCCAACCCTGCAGAGCCGGGACTTGGCCGAGCTGGTGGGTGTCCTAAGAAGCAGGTGTCGCAACATGATGGACAGGCCCCACGGAGGACATCCGGGCTCAGGGCCACCTACGCCTCTGCCTCCCTCTCCCCAACCTGACCGACCCCCCGTTGAGAAGCCCCATTTAAGCGGGGCTCCTGCAAAATAAACAACTAGTCCCAGAGCGATGCACGAACATGTCTGTCTCTGTGGATTTTAGTACCTGTGTGGTTTTTACAGCTGTCACATTTCCAAATAGCTCTGTGAGTTAGGGTTGCAGAGATCAGCTTTCTAATAGCATAACTGGCAAGCAATGTTTGTTTGTTTGTTTGTTTGTTTTTTAAGGACAGCAGTAGTAGTGACAAGAAAATGAAAGCGAGGAGCTGTGGTGGGGAGTGACAGATTAAAAGTTTCCCCCGCAGGGAGGCTGTGACTCCCCCCAGCACCTGCCCCTCGGAAGGAAGGGAGGCCAGGACTGCAGTGGCCTTGCCTTCAGGGCTCTGCCCTGCCCTGGGGAGCCCTGCCCGGCACCCGGGGGCTCACCTTGTCCCGGAGCTCCTCAATGGTCTTGTAGTATTGGCTGTAGTCGCGCTCCGGGCTCGCTGGGCTCTGCTTCAGGTGCCAGTCCCGGATCTTCACCTCCAGGTCGGCATTGGCCTCTTCCAGGGCGCGCACCTTGTCCAGGTAGGAGGCCAGGCGGTCGTTGAGGTTCTGCATGGTGATCTTCTCATTGCCGGAGAGGAGGCCGCCGTCGGCACCGCCAAAGTCACCAAAGCCACCGCCAAAACCTCCACCAAAGCCACCTCCAAGACCAACTCCGAAGCCACCTCCAAAGCCACTACCAGCTCCAGCACCAAAGCTGCAGCCCACGCCGCTCCCGTAGCCCCCGGCTGAGCCTCCGGAGACAAACCGGGTAGAGCAAGTAGAGACGCTGCGGCCTCCTCCCAGCTGGCAGGAGCCACTCCCGAAGCCACCGCCGTAGCTGGTGGAGGAGCTCTGCAGGCGACAGCTCATGGTGCAGGCGAGAGCGGTGCTGGAGCAGGTGCAGGCAGGAGCTGGGCTTGGCCTGGGCCAAGGACGATGGCTCTGTCCCGGTCCAGACACCTTTTATACACCTGCGGAGGGGCTGGCCATCCTCTCTCCTCCCCTCCCCACCCTCTGACTTGGTGCCAACTTCCCTTCTTTTCTCACAAACCCAGTTACCTCTGCTCCCCAGGGAGGGTTGTGCCTTTTGGGGGTGGCTTTTTTTTTTTAATCCTTAACAAAAGAGATGATTCAGAGGGAACGGTGTTCTGCTTAAGACTCCCCTTTGAGAGTGAATCCTAGTTCACCTCTCCTCTAAGGAGCTCACTCCACAGGCTCTCGGCCCCACCCGGTTTTAGAACGGGGACTGAGCTGCAAACAGCTGCCGGCGAGCCTCGAAGGAAGAGGCGGCTGCCGGTGCCCTGTGCCTTGTGAGGCTCCGCGGCCCCCCGCCTCCCTTCCTTCCAGCCCGAAGCTTCTGCACAGGGTGCTCTGTCTCCCTTCCAGCCCTCTGTCTACTGCAGCCCCGGCAGCGACTCTGAGGACAAACTCCACTGGTCCTGCAGAATCGGCTGCCTTGGGAGTGTTTAGTCTGAGATGGCTCCAATGCCATCAGAAAGAATCACAGTGACAAGGGACCTCGGGGGGCGGGGGGCTTAGGGAGCCAGCCAACGCAGCTGGGGAGAAGGAAGAGGCGAGGAAGAGGAAGGGACTCCACGCATCCTCGTAGCTGATGTTCTGAGAGCCCTTGCCCCGGGCAGCCGTGGGCCCAGCACTTGGCGTTCAGGGCCTCACAGACTCCTCCTGTGGCCGCTGTTTCACACGCAAGCAAACAGAGCCTTCAGGACGGAACCAGGACTGCACCCCAAACCTGGTCCCGTCTGACCCAAAGACCAGTTTTTGAGGTGTGTTTTCATGCAGTGAAATGTGCAGATCCTAGGTGTCCAGTTCAATGCATTTTTACCGGTGACCACCACACAGCACTTCCCAGCACCCGTCCATCTCCTGGCACCTTCCCCCAGTGACCCCCATGCCCCTGATGTCACCCTGAGACAGGTTGGTGGCCACAGCTGTGGAAGCTGCTGGGATGCAGAGCAGCGAGCAGGGGTGCGGCTGAACACCCCGCGACACACAGGACCGCCCCACGACGAAGACTCGTCAGGCCTGAGAGGCCAGCAGAGCCCAGTGGAGAGGCCCTGAATCCACCAGGCCTGTGGGTTTAATGCTTCATAGTAGGGCCAGCGTGGCGGTGCGGTGGGTTAAGCTGCTCCGTGTGACACCAGCACCTTAGAGCACCAGTCCTGGCTGCTCTGCTTCTAATCCAGCTCACTGCTAATGTACCCAAGAAAGCAGCAGAAGATGCCCCAAGGACTTGGGCCCCTGCCACCTATGTGGGAGACCAGAATGGAATTTCTGGCTCCTGGCTTCAGCCTGACCCAGCACTGGCTGTTATGTCATTTGGGGGGTAAAGCAGCATGTAGAAGATTCTCTCTCTCTCTCTCTCTCTCTCTCTCTCTCTGTCTCCTTTTCTGTCTCTCTATCATTCTACCTTTCAAATAAAATGAATAAATCTTTTTTTTGACAGGCAGAGTTAGACAGTGAGAGAGAGACAGAGAGAAAGGAGAGAGAGACAGAGAGAAAGGTCTTCCTTTTCCGTTGGTTCACCCTCCAAATGGCTGCCATGGCCGGCGTGCTGTGCACCGATCCGAAGCCAAGAGTCAGGTGCTTCTCCTGGTCTCCCATGCAGGTGCAGGGCCCAAGGACCTGGGCCATCCTCCATTGCCTTGCCGGGCCACAGCAGAGAGCTGGACTGGAAGAGGAGCAGCTGGGACAGAATCTGGCACCCCAACCAGGACTAGAACCCTGGGTGCCGGCACCGCAGGTGGAGGATTAGCCAAGCGAGCCGCAGCGCTGGCCATGAATAAATCTTTTTTAAGAAACTACTCCATAGCACTGACTGCCCCAGGGACACAGCTGAGAGCAGAACATGGGACACGCATGCCCGAGCAGAGCCCTTCCACAAGGCATGGGTCTCCGCTTGTGGGTGATTGGGAAAGAGGCCATGGAGGAGGATGTGGCCCAGGGTCCGGAGCCAGGCTCTCTTCAGAGGACTCTGGGATGTGCTGCAGAGACTCAGAGACTGTTGATCTTCCCGGAGGAGACCTCACCCCTCGGACTGGGGCAAAAGTCCCAGAGGCACCCATCAGAGCCCGGGAGAGGAGTGCCCGGGCTGCAGTGGAAGCCCAGGGCCAAGGTCTGCGGGTGACCCCTCGGGAGCGTGTTCTGACCATGGCCTTCAAGAAGCTCTGGCTAGACCGGGCCGGTGGGGAGGGGAAGGGAGACACAGGTGCAAGGTGATCCTGGAGCCCCCTTCGCTGATTCAGCAAGGCCAGGAGAGAGACCTGAGTCAGGGCTTTCGGGCTCTTTGTTTTCTGGGGTAGGGAAGCAACCCGTGTTTCACCCAGAGGGCAGCAGCACCCAGCGAGAGCCAGGGCGTGCTGCGGGTGCCCAAACCCCACGGTGAGGCCAGGATTCCGGCTGACCCCTGACCCTGCCCAGCCCTCCTACCCTAAGCCCCGATGGCTCAGCTCGCTCTGAAAAGACATGATTCAGCCCAAAGCAGGAGCTCCCGCACCCTCGGTGGAGGATCAAAACTGACAAGTGGGTGATTAATGGAACCTGCCCAGCCTGGGGTGACCATGCCCCAGTCCTCCCCGGGCGGGTTCAGGCCAACGCCTCTCAGAGGAACAATGCTGCGGATTCCCCAAAGCCACATGGGATGGCGGTGACACGCCCCTCCCCCACCCGAGAATCAGGGCACAGCGCCTCCTCCCCCCCAGCAGCCCTCCTGGTGCCTTCACACTGGGAGGCTTCTCCAGACACTCAGCGAGCCCCGGCGGCACCCATGGGGGACCCATGCCCACTCCTCCTGCTCCTGGTCCCAAGCTTCCTGCAGCAGTCCCCTCGCTGTCCTGTTTCAAGGCAAGGTGGGCCCCTGCACACCCCTGCCATGTGGGCATCCTCCCCGGGACCCTGGGAGAGGGGCTTCAGGAGCCTCATTTCTCGGACAAGGCCACTGAGGTTGGGCGAGGTCAAGTCATGGCCTAGGACTCGGCGAAGTTGAGGTGGACACCTGGCCCCGCTCCTCTGCCCCTCCTAAAGGTGTCTGGCAGCCCGGGCCGTGAGCCCAGACGGCCGCTCTCCCAAGGTTCCACGTGAGCTATAACTGGGAGTCTTCCTGGGTCTCGGGCCTACTAAAACTCTGGTGACTTCCCGAGCAGTACGGGAGCTGGGCACACCCTATGTTCTGATGGTTGGCCTTTGACCCCGGACCTCAAACCCAGATCTAAGCCCCGGGACTTTGCGGGTGACAGAAGCACCCTGTGTTCTTGGTGGTCTCTGGGCCTGAGCCAGAAAGACTTTCAGCTCCACCCAGTAAAGTTTCCATACAGTCCCAGAGCTGTGGAGTTAGAGACCCGCTCAGCGCCCCACCTCCACGGGGATGGCAGCTCCTTGACCTTGTCCTGCGTCTCTCGTCTTCTGGCTGCTCACCGCATCCTTGAAAACACACTTTCTAATCCTTGGCTAATAACAACGATACCGTTTTCCGAGATGCTACAAACCGCTCTGTCAAAGTCTCCAACCCAAGGAGGGGGCAGGGGAAGCTGCGGTTTGTGGCCACAGTGGACAGAGGCTGTGGGTGACCTGGGGACCCACTGCCATCAGCCCTGAAGGGAGCGGAGTGTCGTGGGGCTGGACCCTTACTCCACGGGCCCCACCAACTCGGCTCAGGGTCAGACACGCAGCTGGGACGGGAAAGGTGCTCCCACCAAGGGGAGTCTCACACATCCGCTTCCAGAGGTGCTCTGTCCTGAGCGTGAGGGTGGAGGAGGAGGAGCAGCGTCTGGTTTTCCCGTACTCACAGCCTATCCGTGTTGAAAGATAATAAGGACTGCCAACCTTTATCGAACACTGTGCCCGATGCTCTGCACGCATCATGTATTCGGTCTTCAAAACAACTCTACACTTCTCGTCACACCTTTTGCTCAGATGAACAAACTGAGACCCAGTGAGGTCAAACACGCAGCACAGACCCAGAAGCAGCCCCTTCCGGCCACTGTCAGCCCCAACCCCACCCAGGCAAGGCCTTTCACTTTCCCGGGCCTCCCTGACGCCCCGCACCAGGCTGATGGGTGGCGCTTCTCCGTCGGTGAGGCCTGTGCCACTGACGACGGCCTGGTGGTGTCCCCGGCCTGAGTGCCAGAGCTGAGACCCCTGTGGGGGCAGAACTGTGGTGGAGCTCTCGTATGCTGCCCCCCATGTCACCCCTGGGGAAACTGAGGCCCAGGTAACAGGAACAAGGTGACGATACCAGGTCCCCAGCTCACTGGGGACTTGACGCTGAAATGAGCATTGAGTTTCTTTCCCTAACTCGCTTCTCTGTGCCTCTTGAGTGTCAAAGATGAGAACCAAGACAAAAGCCCATCCCCCGGCTTCTAAGTCCAAGTTCATCACTTGAATCAGGTGCCTCTCTCTCCTCTCTCTCTCTCTCTTTCTGTCACTGGACTCCAAGACACCCAGAACCCAGGACAGCTGATCCACACCCCAAAGGGTCTCCAGACTTCCCACGGGGGAAGGGCCCCTCCAGAAGAGCAGGACCCCCCATTCACCCCTGGGGCACTCGACCCAGGCCCCCGAGAAGCTCCCTCTCCTCAGAGAAGCCTGCCTGGCAGCGCACTGCCCAGAAACCCTTCAGGACCAGCCTGCAGGCCACAGGCACTCCCATTTGCAGAGTCCACAGCTCCCTGAGAGCCCTCCCTTGCCCACCCACCAGGCTGCCCTGCAGCTGCCGTCCACCTGCCAGCCGTGTGACCACAGGGAAACTGCGCACCTTCAGTGCCTCTGCGGCTGCCCCTGGGAAACAGGCAGCCATACAGGTCGTATTTGGGGCTTCTCAGATACCTGAGCCTCGAGAGGCGCTTGGCAGGGGAAGGTTGCCATCACCTCCCTTTTACATCACCTGCCCAGGAATCCTCTGAGCTCCCCCCACACCCCCGCCACACTGCACTAACCCATTGCTCTCCTCTCTTCCCTCTGCTCCCTGTAGCCAGTACGGTACCCACGGCAACCAGGCAAACACCAGCAGGCAGCATTGCTTTGTTTTCCCTCCCACTCCCTCTCAGTTTTCCCAAGGACAGGATCGTTGTCCAGTGCATCTCCCAACACTACTTCCGGCACAGGGACGCCCCCAGCAGATGCCTGAGATGGGGTCTGGGGTAGGCTCTGTCTGCTGGCGTTAGGCGAGAGGGAATGGCAGACAGGAGTGATGTCCACTGGGGCCACCCCGGCTCCAAACCTCAGCAGTAACCCTGCCAGCTGTTTATTGTCCTGGGCACTGCCAGCTGCCCAGGGAGGAACAGGTGACAGCCAGATGGGCACACGCCCAAGATATCCGTGCCTGTCCAGAGCCGTGTGAAAGGCAAGAAAAGCAAAAGAGAAGCAGGTTCATGTACTAATTCAGCAGGCGTTCATTTATCGCCCAGGCTGAGGTTCCGCAGAGCACAGGTTGAACACGGCCCCTGCTGTCACGGAGTTACAGTCCCAGCTCGGAGCTCATCACACGGAGAGGCAGCGATCAGCTCTCCAGCCAGACTCCTGCATTTACAGATGGAGAAACTCAGACCCAGAGAAGGAACAGCCACGGTCCTCAGGGCCACAGGGCAGGCATGCCCTGCGCCTGCACTGGGGAGCACAGCTGGCACAGGACACACCCAGGGCCCTGATCTCCGGTCCCAAAGCCGCCCTCTCTCTGTGGGGACAAGGAGGGGGGGATCAGCTGCTGCCTGGCTTGGCTGGAAACCAAGCCTGAGCCCAGCCCAAGCAGGAGCTAGGCGTGCCGCTGCCCGGAGACTACTTAAGGGCTCAGCAGGGCATGAGCCGCCCCTGGGCGCGGGCGACTCTCTTCAGGGTCGGTCCCGGGACAGGGCTCTGCAAGTTCCAAGTATCTGCCTGCCAGTCTCTCCAAGGAGCACAGAAGAGCAGAAGCAGGCACTCCAGGGAGACAGAGGCAGCTTCCCCTCCTGCCCCTGCTCAGCCTCTGGCCCCCAGGGAAGGCAGCCTGGCTGCACCTGCAGCCGAGCCCACCTCGCCGGTCTGCCTCGTCAGCAGAGGCTGTTGCTGCCACTGCTGCCCGCTTAGAGGCTGAGAAACTCTTTGCGGGCTGCTCAGAACGTCTGAGACCTCGCAAAGGAGACCCGAGGTCAGGGAGGCACGAGCTGCAGGTGGACCAACAGCCTCTGCCTCCAGGGGACAGAGAGGCTGGGGCTAGAGCCTGGCTGCTGCCAACCCGGGGGGACCCGGCAGCTGATAGTGGGGCTATCGTGTGAGAAGAAACCAGAGCAGGAGAGACGAAGGCCCGGCTGTGGAGCCGATGCTGCCGGTGGTCCTGGCTGCACCGTGTTGGCACAGGGCTGCCCACGGAGGTGAAGACGTGTACTTCCCCATCGGGCATTGGACCCAGCAGCTCTGACACCACTGGGGCCACCTCCCATGCTGCAGTGCCTGGGCTCCAGCTCTGGGTCTCCTCTCAATCCCAGCCTCCTGCTCATGTGCACGCGAGGAGGGAGCTGGTGATGACTCAAGTACTCGGGTCCCCGTCTTCCAGGTGGGAAACCAGAACTGAATTCCTATTTCCTGGCTTCAGCCTGGCCCAGGCCTGGCTGGCTGTTGTGGGCATTTGGAGAGTAAATCAGTAGATGGAAGTTCTCTCTCTCCCCACCCCCATACCGCCGCCGCCTTCTAAATAAATAAAACTAAACTGACTCTAAAAATGGTTTAAAAGCGCTGGGTTTCAGACTCGCACACCCTCCTAAGACAGGTGCTGCAGCTTCTGTCACCTCCTGATGTCCAGAGAAAAGCAAGGGTCGGGGACCAGAGAAACGAGTTCCAGACCCTGTTTCACCGATTCCTGGCTTGTGACCTCACCGAGGTGACTGAACGTGCTGGGGCCTCCGTGTGCGCTCCTGGATCTGACACTGCACCTGACCCGGACTTCACAGACCTGTTGGGAGGGACAGGCTGTCAGAGATGCCTTCCCGGGGCCTGGCACATTGCAGACAACACATTGGTCACGTTTCCTGCCCCAGCCCTCAGTACGTCCTCCGTCAAATCCCCAGAGAGAGCAGGCACCCCCTTCTCTCCAGCCGGGGTCTGTGGGGAAAGGGCTCTGCCCAGCGAGACGCATGGAGACCCTCCCTGGAGGGCTCGGCTCTTCCCACAGACCAGGCTCTCGGAGCCCCTGCAGCCTGCTCTTCTCCGTGGGACCGAGAAACCGGTTCTGCCTCCTCGTGCCCAGTCCTCACCCCAGGGCCTGAGCCGGCCCAGCTGAGGCACCCAGAGTTCTCAGCTTCCTGTTCCCTGGCCTCCGTTCAGGGCTGTGAATCCCAGAACTCTGAGGAAGTTGCCCCAGGTCAGAGGCAACAAATCAGGTGTGCAGAGAGGCTGCTTTTGTACCAGGCCCTGGGGGAGACCCTGGGGAGGGGGCAGCAGGCACAGGAGGCGGACAAAAGGGGCAGCAGAGATTGATGTGGTTTGGACATGAGGTTAGGGAAATCGAGGAAGGCTTCCTGGAGCTGGTGTCTTCCCCTCCAAGTGTTTTAAAGAACTTCTTGGAAGGTTAGATGGGTCAGCTTCATGGGGGCCTGGGAATGGGAACTGGTCAGCCGCTCCAAAGATGAAGCTTGCCCAGCTGGAAAGGAAGGGCTCCTCGGGTAGCACGTGGGTGAGCGCCAGAAGCAAAGAGGAGGGTCCTTTCACAGGCTGTGAAGGGCCAGGGCCCAGGGGCCCAGAGCAGGCCCAGGTCATGGAGTCGTGCAGGAGTGGCACCCAGGCCAGCCCTGACACTGACCATCCACAGGTGAGCCATTCACCTCTGAGCAGGGGACAATCCACCCCGGCCACCTGCAGTTGGATTAAACGAGGCAGCGGGGTGAGTGGCCTAACACCAGCCATGCAGTGGTGGATCTACACAATCAGCGTCATTGGTCACTCGGTCAGCCAGATGGATGGAACCCTGCGCCAGGTGCTCCACGTCCTGGGTTATCAAGTCCCCTGAGCAGCTCAGGGTTTGTCCCAGGCACCAGCGTCCTGGACACTCCCAAAGCGGGTATTGTAACCGTGAAGGGAAGAGGCCATAGTGGGGGAGAGATGGCCGCAGGTGGGCCCTGGACCTCCTCAGAGGCCAATCTGGACCCAGCAAGAAAAACTGCACATTGTACCAAGAGACATCTGGGAAAGGAAAAGCAATTCTTTATTGTGGGAACAGACACGGTACAAGCCAGCTTGTTGCGCAAGACAGCTGCTTCTGGCTTGTGCTTGCTCTCAAGGGGGTGGGGAGGACTGGGCGGGGCGGGCATGCAAAGCCGCAAGCAGGGAGACCTCTCGGGCCGGTCGGTCACTCTCAGGGGGTGGGACTGGACCCCTCGCAGCCAGGGAGGGCGCAGTGGTGTGGGAGCCTTCCCTGTGTCTGGCACTCAGGCTTCTCTCTTGCGGGAGACCACCTTCCCATCCACGGATTCCTCTATGTGGACTCGGAAACCGCCGCCACCGCCGCCACTGCCCAGGGAGACTGAGGAAAGAAGGAACGAGTGTCAGCGTCCCTCTCTCCAAGGTGGCCAGGAGAGCTGGACAGCAACCCCAAGAGCAGCCCTTAGGCAGGTGTTGAGTGACTCATCAGAGAGCCAGGCTGCAGCCATGGCAGGCGTGTGCCCAGTGCTGAGCCACGAGGTCAGGGATGTGGTCTGCACGTGGACCGAGCATGAGTGTGGGCCTCTAAACTCTAAGTGTGTGACAAGGGTCCCAAGGAGCATGCCCTGGACAAAGCCTGCTCGCCTCGGAGGTCTCGCGACATCTCTCCAACCCCAGCCCCCACGGGAGCCAACAGAGGGTCCCAGCGCCCTGAGAAAGGAGTGTGGCCTGAGCTGGCGAGGGTCCCCGCCCTGCTGGGCTGTGGGCTCTGCTTCTCCTTCCTCCCGTCCCAGCCTTCCTACCTTCCCGGATGCCAACGTTAGCCATCCTGAAAGAGAGCAGGAACCACAGGTGAGCAAAGGGGAGAGCTCAGGGACCCCTGAGGGAAGCCCCCACGGATGACTGAGCCTCCTCTCCAGCCTCTCACCTCCCCAACCCCCACTCCCACTCCTGACACCCCCAGGGGCTGGGACACCCTGATGGCCCCGAGGAGAGGCAACACCCCCTCAGCAGATTTCCCTGCAAAGAATGGTACAAGCACTGAATCAGGTGTCCCAGCCCAACTGCTACATCTACCCAACAGACAGGACGCATGGCCATGGATCAGGGCGCTGAGTCCAGACCCCTCACTCCTCGTGGGGCCATGCCAGGAGGACTTGGGGACACCCTGCCACCCCCTTAAAAACGGTCCTGCCCCAGAGCCCCAGCCCGCTGCTCCGCATCCCTGCCCTACTTGGCGTCCTGGCCCTCGAGCAGGCTGCGGTAGGTGGCGATCTCCTGCTCCAGCCGCGACTTGATGTCCAGCAGCCTGTTGTACTCCTGGTTCTGCTGCTCCATCTCGCAGCGCAGCTCGCCCAGCTGGGCCTCCAGGCTGCCCACGAGCCCCTGGATCTGCTGCAGCTGCGTGGCGTATCGGCACTCCACCTCCGCCAGCGAGTTCTCCAGCCCGGCTTTCTGCAGGAGCGACACATCAGGTGGGGAAGAACTCGCCCAGGGCCCTGGCCGGTGGAGGCGGGCCGGCGGCAGGCGGCGGGCAGTGGAGGGCAGGCGGCCCTACCATGCTGAGCTGGGACTGCAGCTCGATCTCCAGCCCCTGCATGGTGCGTCTCAGGTCTGTGATCTCCGTCTTGCTGCTCTGAAGCAGCTCTGTGTTGGAGGCCACCTCCTTATTCAGCTCCTCGGTCTGTGAGTCACACGCAGGAGAGAAGTGAGCCCCGGGGGCCTCCTGCGAGACCTGGGGAGCCGGGCCTGGCCGGGCAGGGTGGGGCAGGGCAGGCCCACCTTGCTGAAGAACCAGGCCTCGGCGTCCCGCCGGTTCTTCTCCGCCATGGCCTCGTACTGCTCCCTCATCTCGGCCAGCATGCGGCTCAGGTCCACACCCGGCGCCGCATCCATCTCCACATTGACCTGGCCGGCCAGCTGGTTGCTGAACTCCTTCATCTCCTGCAGGGTGGAGGAGCCGAAGAGAGAGCCGAGAGTCTGGGGTCCCGCATGCCCACCGTGGCTGTGCCCCTCACTCACACGGTCACCTTGGCCTTCACCACGCCCGCCACTGCTCGTGAGGATCTCCTGCCTGCCCCAGGCGCCACCCAGGGAGGACACAGGAGGTCAGCAGTTCACACTAGAGGACCAGAGGGCCTCTGTGCCACTAAGCACTCTACCAGCTGTGACAAAGGAAGCAGCAGCCCCCCCCGCCACGCCCACCACCACCACCACCCCCAGTCGCACCTCCTCGTGGTTCTTCTTCATGTAGGCCAGCTCTTCAGTCAGGCCCTCGATCTGCGCCTCCAGGTCGGTCCTGGCCAGGGTCAACTCGTCCAGCACCCTGCGCAGCCCGTTGATGTCGGCCTCCACGCTCTGGCGCAGGGCAACCTCGTTCTCATACCTGAGGAGAGAGAGGGATCCGGGCGGCTGAGTCGGAGGGAGAGCAAGGCCCAGCAAAGAGGAGAACGCGGGGTGGGCGGGGCGGGGGAGGCAGGTGTGCACTTGAGCCTGAAGTCGTCGGCAGCCAGCCTGGCGTTGTCGATCTCCAGGATGACCCGGGAGTTGTCGATGGTGGCGGCCAGGATCTGCAGGAGACCAGGAGCTCGGATGCCTAAGGGATTCCTCCCTCCCCTGCTGCCCTCCTGCCACCCGCCAACCCCTCGCTCACCACCTCCAGGTTGGCACCACCAAGGGAAGCCCCTGGGGCCCTTGGCGCAGCCTCACCTGAGGTGCTGCCCTCCTCGGCTCCAGGGCATGGCCTGGGACCCTACCCCCCCTCCCCACCCCGTGGGATGTGGCTGGCCAAGAATGTGCTAGAGTGAGGTGCAGTGGGCTCCAGCCGTAGCCCTCCCCAGGGTCCTCCTGCACCGGCCCCTCTGGGCACAGCTCACGGCCACTGCCCCCTACACTCCTTGACACAGCTGTGCGTCTACGGAACGTGGAGGGGGCCGAGAAGGCGTTTTAGAGGGGAGGAAACCAGTGCCAGTGAGGGAGACAGTGGCAGAGCCTGGAAAGAGCTCCCAGGTCCCCCAAGTCCTGGCAGTGTTCTTGGCACCAAAGCCCCCTGGAAGGGCGCAGCGGGAGGTCCTGGCACTCGGGGCTCCTGCGGTTACACCCCAGCACCATTCTTGCCAAGGAGGTAAAGGAACACTTTGAGCAGACTCCTGCAGGGCGTGTGGGACAGGGAGGGTGAGTCGCTCTCCATAATTGCCCCTACCTGTGCCCCTGTTGGACCTAACGGGATTCCCAAGAGCCCTCCTGCCCACACTGCCAAGGTGAGCAGATGTGCGCCAGCGCGTGCTCCTGGAACGCAGGTGCACGGCCACTCTGCCGAGGTTGCACATAACGCAGTCATCACCCAGGCAGAAGCAGACACGTGCAGGGCACCTGGCACCTGCTCCCCTCCTGCTGTCACCTGGGGCTCACCTTGTCCCGGAGCTCCTCAATGGTCTTGTAGTATTGGCTGTAGTCGCGCTCCGGGCTGCTCGGGCTCTGCTTCTGGTACCAGTCCCGGATCTTCACCTCCAGCTCGCCGTTGGCCTCCTCCAGGGCGCGCACCTTGTCCAGGTAGGAGGCCAGGCGGTCATTGAGGTTCTGCATGGTCACCTTCTCGTTGACAGAGAGGAGGCCGCCGTCGCCACCACCAAAGTCACCAAAGCCACCGCCAAACCCCCCTCCGAAGCCGCCACCAAAACCAGCACCGGCTGCTCCACCAAAGCCGCAGCTCATGCCGCCCCCATAGCCCCCTCCTGACCCCGAAGAGACAAACCTAGCAGAAGAAGCCGAGATGCTGCGACTCCCACCTCCCCCATAAAGACTCCCCCCACCAAAGCCACCTCCCCCATAAAGACTACCCCCACCAAAGCCACCTCCCCCAGCCCGGAGGGAGCCCCCTCGGGTAGAGCCTCCCCCAAAGGTGGAGGAAGAAGTTTGCAGAAATGTGGTAGCCATGGTCAGGCAGCCGGTGAGGTCTCAGCCAACACTGGGTATGCGGGCAGGTATCTGGGCTGGGACCAGAGCACAGCGCCTGTCTCCCCAGCCTGGAGCTCCTTATATATCCCTGGGGGTGGGGGGTGGGGGGTGCAGGACCATGTCTCCTCCCCCAGAGCCGAGCCAGCTCCTCTGCCCTCCCGACAAACACAGCTGCCTGCACACCTCCACGTGGCTCCTTGCAGGTTTTTTTTTTTTTTAATGCAACAAAAGATGATTCAGAATGAATGGTGTTTTGCCCCAGGCCATGATTTTAACACTTGGATTACGGGTCCATCTCTCTACTCCAGGAGAAAGGAGAGAGAGCAGCAGGGAGCAAAGTCCCAGCCAGCTGTGCCTTCGGTGGGTTTCTCCCACCCCAAGGACCCACAGCATGGGCAGACCCTGGCCACCACCATCTCCTGCCCTGGGAGCCTTGCTCCGACACAGACGGCTCCCCACTCTCAGTGGGGACTGTACTTCCCAAACCCTGCTCTGTGCTCACAGACCTGGTACATGAGCTGTGGGGCCCCGGGAGACAGGCTGAGGACAGGAGAGGAAGACTTGATCCAACTGAGGCGACCAGCATCTGTCCTTTCCCTGGGGTTCCTCTGCCTCCCTCCCTCCAACCCAAGGATCTCTCCTTCTCCTCCAGTTCACCCCAGCCTCCATGGCCTTGGCACACTTGCAAAAGCCCAGCAGGCTGAGCCCTGACAGGGGGCTGATTGATGGTGCCGCCACCTGCCAACTGCACATGTCACTGAACCTCTGCTTGCTCCCGGGACGCGTTGGGGCAAACCTCTGCAGATAAGGCCGGGGCACATTCCAGAAAGCCCCTGCCTTCTCCTGGAGAGGCATGTCGCTGCCTAGCAGGGACAGATTAACCCCCGTTTGTCCTGTCGGGCACTGCAGAGCTGAGGAGGGCCGGAGCCAGAAGTCTCAACCAGCCTGAACATTGCCAAGAGCAAAGACGTGGGGAGGCTGGTTGGCCAGAGATGTTGAAGGTCAAGTCAAACACTCAGAGAGGACAACCATCCCCTCTGCCCTCCAAGTTGGGGCCACCTGACACTGTGGTCAATGCAACGTGCAGGTGTGGCTCAGCCTCTGGCCCCCGACTCCAGAATGAACAGAAAGTCTGGGAGCAGAGAGCGAGCAAGACAAGAGAGGGAGACTCAGGAGGAGGGGGGTTTCCTGGGCCAAGGCTGCAGTGTGGTGGGGTGGACGGGGCTCTGGAATCCCTCGGGCCTGGGTTCAAATCCTGTCTCTACTGATGCCGCTTGGGCCAGCTTGGCCGTATGAGTTTTAGGTCGCAGTTTCCTTATGCTAAGTACCAGACTCAGCTCTTACTTCCAGGGAAGCTCTGGGGCTCTCCGTCTTCTAAGGGCCCCAGTGCTGGGCTGCATGTCCAGCCCTGAGATGTCCCAATACCCTCACTGGGAGGGCACTTGACCTTGGGCATCAGAACCTGCTGCGAGAGCGCCTTGGCGTGCTTTGGGCTCAACAGTGTCGCCGCCGCTCCACCGCCAGCTCCTGCCGGGCAGTGCGGGCTGTTATCCTGGTTGCCGTAAGGTGGGTCTTTCCTTCCACACATGCTGCACCCACAAGCCGTGCTCATCACAGGTTTCAGAGGAACGAAACTAGGACCCAGGGAGGTGACGTAGGCTGTGCAAGGCGGCACCGCGAGTAAGGGGAGTCGGGGCCTCTGACCCCGCATTCCTGCCTCTGCGCCGCGGTGTGGGGGTGGGGAACCTGTGAGCCTGGCCCCAGACAGTGCGGTATTGTCTCGGGGTGGGAGGATATTGTCTTCTCCTCCCAAAGAAAAATAATCAAACCCAGATCAGCCACAGCTCATTAAACCTCTGCAGACATCGTGGCCCCAGCAGTTACCACGGGAACAGCCGCTCGCCCATCGCCCTGAGCTGCAGCAGGGCTGGACCCCAGCCAGCTCCCCCTGCACCCCCACAGCCCTTCCCGGTGGCTTTCCTGGGCCCGGAGCTGCAGCTGCCCCCTCGTGGCTTCTGTCGCAAATCCCTGGCTTCAGTCCCAGCTGGGGCAGGGCCCTGGGGCCTCCTCATTAGCTGGCACCAGGCGGGAGGGCATTGAGAGGAAGGAGCTGTGTTTGGCCCCCTGCCTAGACTGCACCCCAGGCCCTGCCGCAGGCCGCCCGCCCAGGAGGCTGGGCCAGTTTCTGTCCTTTGCCCACCGCAGCCAGGTGGGTCTTGGAGCTGGGCCTTCCCGCCTTGGGCCGGGGCAGTGCAGCCCAGTGGAAAGAACCCGGGGCTGGATTCTGCTCTGGGTGCAACTTCAGCAGGGCCCTTAGCTGCGACCCCAGTCACAGAACCACAGCAAGCATTCAATGGCACGTGGAGGGAGGAGGGGGAGGGTGGTCTCCAGAAACCCTGGATCCTCCCGCCCTCCTCAGCTGCCCAGGGAGGTGCCAGAGACAATGGGCACCACCTGGGCCTGGTGACCTAACCTCCGAATCTCTCCTTTCCCATGTGCACAGTGTGCTGCTTTGGGCCTTAATCTACCAATCAGGAAAATGGGAATGAGCCCAGCTCAGCCCAATTCACAGAGAGGCATTGATGGACAGGAAGCAGTCCACCTTGAAGATCTGCATTGATGCAAAGGTGTCGCCCCCCCTCCCACCAAGCCCACCCTCTCCCCTCTCAGCCTCCTGGCTTCTTCCAATGCCAGCTCCCAGATGGAGACAGAAAAGTGTCCCCGCCACTCCCCACCCCATGCACACACAAAGAAGGCTTCACACCAAACACCCAGGCCTGCGACCCAGGCACCTGCCCCACCTGTGTGGGCCCAGACCCCGCCCCACAGCCACATTCCTGGGGCCCTGGAACCCAGGCAGGGTTTGTGACAACAATGCAGGCTTTCACGGGCAGGGACAGGTACCTCCAGGCAGTCCCAGCCTGGGGGTGTGGCCAGGCCTCTGCCTCCAGCACCAAGGCTTCCTGGGAAGTTACAAGGGACAGCAGGACCTGTGTGTGCTGGAGACAGGACAGTGAGGGAGGTGACAGAAGGGGCTCCTTGAGACCCCAGGGAAACTGGGGACAGAGCGCCTCCTTCAGGCTTAGCCTGAGCTGTGACAGGGTGGGTACAGGAGTGGCACCAGGGTCCCTCCCTTGCCACCTCTTATTGGGACCTGACCCTCCGGGTCCCAGGAAGTGGGCCTTCTTTATGGGTCTCCCATTTGCCTCAAATTGGCTTCAGTTCTTGGCAGGGGCAGGACCACACCCGCCCCAGGGCATAGTCATATGGTAAAGTTGGGACTTTGCCCCTTGCAGGCTCAGGGCAGGCCCCAGAAACGCCAGGTTGGGGGGGTCTGTGTGGGAGGTCTGGGTCACAGCTGGGTCCTGTTCCAGGCGCCAGGCCCAGGAATGGGCTGGTGGGCGAAAGGGGCTTATGCAGGGCTGCCCCGGAGCGGATGAGTGTGTTGGTGCATGTGAGCTCCTCAACAGGTTCACCCTCTCCCAGCTGGCCCCAGGCAGGTGCCTAACCCCACAGCCCCCATTTTGGCTCAGTGGGGAAATGCGCTCCCACCCCAGGGGACCGCAGTGCTGAGCCTCCCTCTGATCCAGACGGGCGTGCCAGCAACGCTGGCGTAGTGCTGCCAACTCCAGGAGACCACCTGGGCAGAGATGGCGCCATGCACCCAGAATCAGGAGACACAGAGCCTGGTCCTGGCTCCACCACGTAGCTGGAGTGGGACCCTGGACAACACTCAACCTCTCTGCGCCCGCTTCTTCATCTGCGAGATGGCAGCTCGTAACCCCTTCTAAGGTTGCTTTGGTTAAATGCACACAGCAATCGCTCAATCCGTTTCACACGCACATGCCCCAGCCCCAGACGGGGTGCAGCGGAGAGAAAACTGTATCTGGAAGCCAAACCCCCTTCACCACGGGCTGGAGCAGTAGAAACAGACAACAAAGCCCCTCAGCTCTGGGGACCTTGGTCTACTGCACGCGCTGTGGAAATGGTGTTTAGTTCACAAGGCCGTTGTCGGATCCGGTGAGAGAAATGAAGACTTGTGCGCGCAGGAATTACCATGACAACCAAAGTATGTTTGTCCCTTCCCTTTACCGGGACAGGGTGAACTTGGGTTCAAAAGAAAATCTAAACTGGAGCAGGCTGAATTAACAAAGCAAACTCCCGCCTCCCTCAGGCCATAAAGTTTTATTGGCAGCTCAGGGGAGGAGCCCAGAGGAAGGACCCCTCCCCTCCCGCAACCCTGCCAGGAGCAGAGCCCAGCAGCCAGCCGGGCAGCTCAGATGACCTTGGAGGTGGGCAGGTTGTTGTAGTGGGCGTCCTGGCCCTCGAGCAGGCTGCGGTAGGTGGCGATCTCCTGCTCGAGCCGCGACTTGATGTCCATGAGCTGCTGGTACTCCTGGTTCTGGCGCTCGGTGTCGGCACGCACATCACTCAGCTGGGCCTCGATGCTGCTGATCACCGCCTGGATCTGCGCCAGCTGCGCCCCGTAGCGGGCCTCCGTCTCTGCCAGCGTGCCTTCCAGGGCCGCTTTCTGGGGGGGGGGGGGGGGGCAGAGGAGGTGTGAGGCCTGGTTCCCAGAGCCGGTGTGGGCACGGCCACCACGAGCCAGGCTGCACCACCGCACTCCCCCTGCCCCGAGCCGGGAGCCACGTACCATACTGAGCTGTGACTGCAGCTCGATCTCCAGGCCTTGCATGGTCCGGCGCAGGTCGGTGACCTCGGACCTGCTGCTCTTGAGCTGCTCCGTGTTGACTGCCACCTCGCGGCTCAGCTCCTCCGTCTGCAACGCGGCAGGAGGCAGAGGGGATCAGCATGGAGGCAGGTGTCTGGGGCGTGGTGGCGCCTCGAGCCCTCTCTCTCCCTGCCACCCCGCCAAGGGCACCGGCTCCCCACTGCGTACCCGGCTGTTGAACCAGGCCTCGGCATCCTTCCGGTTCTTCTCAGCCATGACTTCATACTGGCTTCTCATTTCACTCAGGATCTTGCCTAGGTCAATGCCTGGAGCAGAATCCACCTCCACGCTGACCTGGCCACCCACCTGGCCCCTCAGGGCACTGATTTCCTGGAGAGACAGACATCAGGGAGGTGGGTGTGTCAGGGCCCAGAGCCTGCTGGGCTTGGGCCAGTCACTCCCCCACCTCCTCAACCCAAAGTTGGGGGGCGGGTGCGAGTTCAGGTGCAGACCTAGGAGGCAGCACTGGGAGGGTGACCAGGAGGCCGCCATCCCCTGCTGAAACCCAGGGAGCTGTGATCCGCACACAGGGCTCTGGCCGCAGCCAGAGGACACAGGACGGAAGTGCCCTCCGCCCTGGGAAGCAGGGGCAGGATGGACAGGGCCCAGCGCGAAACGTACCTCCTCGTGGTTCTTCTTCAGGTAGGCCAGCTCCTCCTTCAGGCCCTCGATCTGCAACTCCAGGTCGGTTCTGGCCAGGGTCAGCTCATCCAGCACCCTGCGCAGCCCGTTGATGTCGGCCTCCACGCTCAGGCGCAGGGCCTGCTCCGTCTCAAACCTTTCAGGGGGAATAGTTGCCATCAGCCCAGAGTTTCCTCTGCAGTGCCGAAGACCCAGCCTGGAGGGTTTGCTGCAGGCCAGCTGGGAGGGAAGGGGGATGGAGGGAGGGACAAGAGGCAGTCCTCCCACTGCACTGAGCCGCTCTAAGAGCCCAGGAGTGCCAACCCCTCTCTGCCCTGACTCGCGCAGCCCCCACCCCTGTGCAGTCACTCACTTGGTTCGGAAGTCATCGGCAGCCAGACGGGCGTTGTCGATCTGCAGCACAATCTTGGAGTTCTCAATGGTGGCACCAAGAATCTGGAAGGCAGAGGCAGGAGGCTGGCACCGGTGCAGCGACCGGCACTGCCCACCCACCGTCTGCCTCTGCGCAGGCTCTCTGCACACCGAAGCCCCAGCTGCCCCGCTGCTGCCGCATGGCCTGCTCCCTGGGAGGCCTTGAGAGTCAGAGCAGGAGGAAACACTGCAGGGGTCCAGGCCTGGGAAGGACACTCTGAGACCTGTGCCCAGACACATTCTCAGTGGCCTGAAGGGGGTGTATAAGCCAGACACAGGGGAACCGAAGGGGAGGGGGGGGATCAAGAGAGGCACCAAGAAGGGCTTCCCCCTTTGCACCCCCACTCAAGGCTCATCCTGCCTGCAGGGAGAGAATCCCAGTGGTTGAGCACCTGCTAAGCACTCTGTACCTCATCTCTACAGCCTCTGGAGAGAGCAGGTCCCAACTCATTAGTCAAGCACACCAGGGGGTGATTTGCAGGGTTTTGTATTGAAACAGAATAGAACTTCATTCACTTTCAATGTTTGGGGGGTAGCCTTTGGTGCACAGGCTGAGCTGCCACTCAAGGTGCCCACACCCCTTATCTGAGGGCCTGGGTTCCTGCCCAGGCCCTGCTAGCCATTCCAGTTTCCTGACCACGCACACAGCAGATGGCTCAACTACTTGGGTGGGAGAGCAGGACGATGTTCTGCCTGGAGCTCCTGGCTTCAGCCTGGCCCTGCCCTGGCTGTTGCAGTCATTTGGGGAGTGAACCAGTGGATGGGGGATCCCTAGCCCTCACTCTGCTCTCCCTTTCAAATAAATAAAATGTTAAAGCACAGCAAAACAACAGAAGGGATCACCCGAGCAGGGTAGGAATTGTTTTAGAAACGTGTGCCTCTATGGGTGGGGGTGACGTGTGAGGGCCACAACAAGACGCCTTTCTTATTGTGGTCACCGTTCTGGTTGGCTCTGCGTCCTGGATACAGACACAGCTTGGCAGGCCCGAGCTCCCGCAGGGCGGGCTGCCGCTGTAGCTGTAGCCGGTGCTCCCGGGCAAGCAAAGACCAGGGACCCCTGCCTGCGTTCCCTGTACCCGGAGCAGCGGCCACAGCGCCCGCTCCCTTTACCCCCAAAGCTCCGTGAAAGCTGGGGCCCCCAGGCCAAAGGCAGTGGGAGGGGCCAAAGCCTTAGAAGGAAGCCAGACCTGCAAAACCAGAGGAAAGGAATGCAGGGGTCACAGGGAAGGGATAGGTCTGGCCCAAAAGGGACCACTTCCTCCCATGACAAACTCCCGCACCTGCCCGCTGCGGCCCGACGCCGCGTGCCACCGGAACCCCTGACCCAGGCCTCGCAGACCCGCGCCCCTTCTTCCTCCCGCCCCGAAATCCCGCCCCGCCGCCTCCCGGGCCCCACCCACTTACCTGCCCTGCCCAGCTCCCCTCCCCCTACCCACCGCCTCCACTTCCTGCTCCAGGGTCCTGCCCTGAGGTTCCGCCCCGGGCGCCTGCCCTGCTCATTCGGCCTCAACCCACGCGGCCCTCCCCGGACGGGCTCGCTTCCGCTCCCCACGGGAGGTGGCCCCGGCGCCCGCCACCCCGACTCTCGCCGCGCCCAGCCCGCCGGGCGGGGATTCTGCGGCCGCCGCCCACGGCCCGCCGCCCGCCTCGCCGCAACAGGTGCACTCTGGCGGCCGGGCCGCCGCCCACCTTGTCCCGCAGGTCCTCGATGGTCTTGAAGTAGTGGCTGTAGTCGCGAGAGGGCCCGGGCCCCTGCTTCTGGTACCAGTCACGGATCTTCACCTCCAGCTCGCCGTTGGCTTGCTCCAGGGCGCGCACCTTGTCCAGGTAGGAGGCCAGGCGGTCGTTGAGGTTCTGCATGGTGATCTTCTCATTGCCAGCCAGGAGCCCGTCGGACCCAGCCAAGGCGACCCCATAGCCGCCGCCGTAGCCCCCAGAGGAGGACGAGGACACGAAGCGGGCAGAGGACACAGACACGCCGCGGCCACCCGAGCCCCCGTGGATGCTGGGCGCGCGGAAGCTGCCCCCGGCCCCAAAGCGCACGGAGCCGCCGCCCAGGCCTCCGAAGGAGGAGGCAGCGGACGACTGGCGATAGCTGTAGGAAGTCATGGCGAGGAGGAAGAGGCTGCGGCGAGAGCGAGCGACACTGGCCTGAGTCGGGCAGACAGCAGGAGGAGTGGCGAGGCCCTCACCTGGCGCCTTTTATGCCCACGGCAGGAGGGGGAGGGGGAGGGGACAGTGTCAGGGGCGGATATCTGAGCCCCAAGGAATTTGCAGGCTCCAGAGCGCAAACATGGACACTCACCCCATTGGTCAGTTCCTGGTAGCTCTGCCCCCCGGCCCTCCCCTACCAGAACCCGAGGTCCCTGCCCTGCCTGGAGCTGCCCCACCCCAGCCCACTCCCGGCTCTCCCCCGGGAACACACATTCACCCCAGCAAACACACACACACACACACACACACACAGGTGGATACACCTGGCCCCAGGAACTCACTCACCCTCTGCCTCTCACCAGACTCCCAGAGTGTGACAACCCCCCCACACACACACACACACACACACAAGGAATTGCAGCCCTGCTCAGATTACACTCCTGTTAATCTCTCACTGGTCAGCAGTGGCTTCGACCCCTCCATTAGAGCCTTGGGATCCTAACAGGTGCCCCCAAAGAGTGCCTTCACCAGATTCCCAGGCCCACTGAAAGTTACAGCCAGTCAGCCACGCCCTGGGGCTCCCACACCCTGGGTTCCCCTTAGTCCCCTCTGACAAAGGAGGAAGGTGCTTGGAGCAGCTGGGACCCAGCGGCCCCACCCTGCTGTGGCCATGCAAAGCCTGGGTGACAATAGGGACCTGAGCGCAGCTGCAGGGAGCGGTCCTGGCTGCGGGACTGGGGCCTCTACAAGCCCAAGTGCAAGTCTGACCCTGACCCCGAGGCTACACCTGGAACCCCCAACGCCCACCTGCACCTGGACAGTTCCCCACACAAAAGCATGGGGCTGTTCAACAATCCATTTATTAGGCTGCTTTAGAGAATGGGGCCTGAAGTGGGGGAGGGGGCGGCATTTAGCACCTGCCACCCAAAGACAAGACAAGGACGGAATTCCTGTCCCCCTGAGACAGGATGATCTGGGTGCCTGACAGGTTGGTCCTCATGGTTAGGACGTGGATGAATGAGTGGGTGAATGAATGAGCCGGGGAGAGCACCACACAGTGCCACGCGCAAGGCGAGCTGTCCCCACCACTCACTGCCCCAGCCCTGCTACTCAGCCCGGGCAGCAACTCCCCCCACACCAGGGGCCCTGCAGCAGTCTCACCCCAGCCCCTGCACCGCCTTCTCCTGTCCTCACAGAGCCCCCCTCTGCCTCTAGGCGGGAGTTAAGGAGAAGCAGCCATCTCCAGCTCTAAGCCTCAGCTTCCCCCCTCGAAATGAGGGGTTCGGCTCAGCCCTGCTCTCTGCATAGTATCCCCTGGGTCATCTGTGACTAACTGAAAGCTTGTCCCCAGCCTCTGAAACCCAAGTCCCCAGCAAACTGTCTTGTAGCCAGCAGCTCCCCAGACAGGGACAGGGATGGGACAGGGACGAGGGGCAGGGCAGGCACACACGCCCACCCAGCACCAGGAGCAGCCCTCAGCCGTCAGCTGGCCAGCGGAAGGCTGTTCAAAGCAGTGACTCAGGGACAGGAAGACAGAGGCTGGGTCTGGGAGCCCCGAGGGGAAGAGGTGGCCCTGGCCATGAAGGCAGGGTGTGGCTGGGCCTTTACAAAGGTTGCTGTCGCCAGGGCTGGCCTGGTGAGTCACTCTCCTTATCTGGCCCTGGGGAGGAGGCCTGCTCCCTATGAGGGGCAGAGGGATATGGGCCAGATAGTTGCCAGAACACCAAGCCCCGGCCACATCTGTTGTGCGACCTGATGGGAGGGTCTGGGAGGAAAATCTGTCTCAGGAAACAAAGAACAGTTCTACTCCAAAGCTGAAGTGGGTCTAAGGGGCCTAGCATTCCAGCCCCTTCCCAGGGCCCTAACCCTGAGAACAGTCACCTCTAGCTGGGCAACAGTGTGCTTTGCAGCTCTCCCTGGATCCTCACCACAGCCCCCTAGAAAGAATATTCTTTTCTTTCTTTTTTTATTTAAGACAAGAGTTTCCGAGAGAGAGGTCTTCCCTCCTCTGGTTCACTCCCCAGTTGGCTGCAATGGCCAGAGCTGAGCCGATCTGAAGCCAAGAGCCAGGAGCTTCTTCCTGGACTCGCATGTGGGTACAAGGGTCCAAGCACTTAGGCCATCTTCTGCTGCTTTCCCAGGCACATTAGCAGGGAGCTGGATCGGAAGTGGAGCAGCTGGGTCTCATTTCAAATAAATACATCTTTAAAAATAAAAAGAGCTGGGGGAGAGAAAGGTACATATAGAAGACCTCATGAACTTGTGGATGCCATCGCCTTCCCCAAGGACCACAACTCGAGCCACTGCTGTCAGTGACGTGCACCAGGCCTCGTGGATGCCGGTGCAGGGAGACAGAAATGCAGGCAAGGCACTGGCAGCCTGGTGGGGGCTTACGGATACATGTTAGTTTTGACAAAATGGGATAGATTAAATACCTGTAGAAATTTTTGCTCTCTCCTACTAATTAACGAACATTTAAAGAGAATTAGAGGCCGGCGCCATGGCTCAATAGGCTAATCTTCCGCCTTGCGGCACCGGCACACCGGGTTCTAGTCCCGGTCGGGGCGCCAGATTCTGTCCCGGTTGCCCCTCTTCCAGGCCAGCTCTCTGCTGTGGCCTGGGAGTGCAGTGGAGGATGGCGCAAGTGCTTGGGCCCTGCACCCGCATGGGAGACCAGAAGCACCTGGCTCCTGGCTTCGGATCAGCGTGGTGCGCCAGCCACGGCAGCCATTGGAGGGTAAACCAACGGTAAAGGAAGACCTTTCTCTCTGTCTCTCTCTCTCACTGTCCACTCTGCCTGTCAAAAAAAAATAAATAAATAAAGAGAATTAGAGACAATGGAAGATGAGACACGTTGACACCAATCTATAGCACAGCAGACAAGGGGCTCAGACCCAGGGATAGGGGGTGTTAGGAGGGGCAGAGAGGGCAGGGCAGGAAACCCCAGGAAGGCTCAGAGATCAGGGGCCCCAGTAACTCTGGGAGAAGCCAAGGCAGGATGGGGAGCAAAGCCCACTGGGGGTTTCTCTTGGCAGATCCGAGATCTGTGAGACCCAGCGTAGCCGAGTGAGTCCCTCTCCCCGGCCCAGGAGGAGACGGGAGACTTCCTTTGTCGCAGCAGATTGGGAAAATTACGAAGTCTGGTCATAGCAGGTGCGGGGGTGGCTCTAGGCAGGTGAGTCTCCTGCACATGCTGGTGGGAGGCAAACAGCTGCCGTCACCTTGCAGCTGCTTGGCAGGACCTTCCGTTTAAGCAAATCCACCTGCCCCACGAGCCACAGCTGCATGCTCCGTGTTTATCCAGGAAGACCAACCAGGGTTCTTCCAAAAGCTCCTCGAAAAATGCATGAAGGGAAGAACACGCGTGCATTTTAACATTGTTTCTCACTGAAATAAACACCTTTTCATTCCATTTTCCCATGAGCTTGCAGAGAACACGCTTTGCAGCGTGGTTTATCATTTGGAAAGACAGAAGCAACCCCTGCAGGCGATGGTTGAGCAGCTCACTGTGGAGGACCCCAGGAGGAGCGGCCCTGGGGGCGCATGACAAACTCAGCTGACGTAGCTCAGAAGATGCCTGCTCCTCCAGGGACGTGGGGACCCTAACGGAAGCGCACAGACAGGGCAGGACACGCGCAGCCGACAAGCAGCGCCTTTGGAGGGAGGCTGATCAAGGGGAGCAGTCCCAGGACCCGAGCTTGAACCTTCTGCTTGGGACAGTCAGGAGAACGTGTGTGTGTGCTTCTTGTTCATTAAGAGTAAATAAATTCTTCTCTTTTATAAGACTTACTTGTTTGAAAGGTAGAGTTACAGAGAGAGAGAGATTTTCCATCCACTGATCCACTCCCCCAATGGCCACAACAGCTGGGGCTGGGCCAGGCCAAAGCCAGGAGCTTCTTCTGGGTCTCCCACATGTGAGAAGGGGCCGAAGGAGTTGGGTCATCTTCCACTGCCTTCCCAGGCACATTAACAGGGAGCTGGATCAGAAGTGGAGCACCCTGGACTTGAACCAGCGCCCATGTGAGATGCCAGCATCGCACGTGGTGGTTTTACCCCCTATGCCACAACACCGGCCTCAATAATTTGTTTTTTATTTTTAAGATTGATTTATTCATTTATTTATTTATTTGAAAGAGTGACAGAGAGAGGGAGGGAGAGAGAGACAGAGAGATCTTCCATCCACTGGTTCGCTACAACTGGGGTCGGTCCAGGCCAAAGCCACTAACTAGCCAGGAGTTCCATTTGGTTCTCCCACATGGGTGCAGGGGCCCAAGCACTTGAACCATCTTCCACTGCCTTCCCAGGTGCATTAGCAGGGAGCTGGATAGGAAGTGGAGCAGCCAGGGCTTGAGTCAGCACTCAGATATGGGAAGCCAGCATTGCAAGTGACAGCTTAACATGCACACCACAACTCCAGTCCCTAAATAATTTCCTAAGAAATGCTGTAGGGCTGACTTTTAGAACTGGCTGAATTCAACACACTCAGTCCCCTCCCTACACGCACCAGCGACTTCAGCCTCACCTCATCCACACCTGTGCCCTGGTGTTGGTTTTGTTCTGTTTGGAGAGGCAGAGAGACAGGTGAGACAGACCATAGACAGACAGAAAGCTCCCATCTACTGGTTCACTCTCCAGATTTCTACAATGGCTAGAGCTGGGCCAGGCCCAAAGCTGGGAGCTAAGAACTCCATCCGGGTCTCCCTCGTGAGTGGCAAGGGCCCAGTTACTTGAGCCATCACCACTACCTCCCATGGTCTGTATTAGCAAGAAGCAGGAGCCGGGTATCAAACCCAGGCACCGCAATGTGGGGCACAGGCGTTAACACTCGCACACTCTGGCCTTCCACTGGGAAAGGAGAGAGGAAGCTCTGGCGAGCAGAGAGCAGAGGCAGACAGAGAGACTCCGGGAGAGGTTCTAACTCCTGCCCCAGGCCGTGGAGCTGCTTTCACCCAAGAAGCAAAAGGGCAGAACTTGTCCAAGAGAAACTAGGCGAGTTCCCGGTGCCTTGGACCTGGCGGGGAGTCTCTCATGCTC